TATGTCAATACACTTTTGTAGAATATTGATTTGTGGAAGTCAAATGGCAATTGTGAGTTAGCCTTGGTGTCTAGGAAAGGCAATTTTGCTGCTGATTGAATTGTAGCTCAATTTATGAGGGGATTGGTACCGCAAGGATGGCTGCACCAGCCACCACCCCCTCTTGATACTATTTTGCTTAATGATTTCCACAGTCAGTATACTGTTACGAAGGAGAAGGAGGGCTTTGGTTGATTGGATTGTCGTTGCTTTTTTTTTTTTTTTTTTACCCAGGTTGAAATATTAGATTCTGGTGCTTTCTTTATTTTCCTAGGTTGTATTTATAGGTTTTATTGCTTTCTTTATTTTCCTAGGTTGTATGCATGGGTGTTCGTCTCTTTTGTTTTTGTTTTGATTATTAGTGTGTGTAATATTGTTTTTTCGGTGATTAATAAAATGGCCACTCTTTGCTCCAAAAAAAAAAAGATTGTAAAGAAAACACGTACTCCCTCCGTTAAAAAATGTAAGATATTTTTTTAGGAGTTGTATTTTAAAAAATATAACTCATTTTATGTCTTTTGAAGTGTAATCATTGTCTTTTTTTTTAAGTGCTCCTATTAATAATGATTTTATATTTATTGTAGAGTGTTTAATAGGGACAAATATAAAAAGACAGAGTAAGTTTGAAAATAGTAACTACTTTATTGGAAGGATGAGATTTGTTTAAAAATATCTTATATTTTTTAATGAAGAGACCATGTATAAATTGTTATAAGTTGTAGGGTCTCAATGTTCGCCGTGCATGGATCCATGCAAATTTATTGATATCTTTTAAATTTGTCGCTTCTGACCAATTTTAGAAAGTAACCATACAAGATAACTCAAATTTCTTGATTTATTGACAATGACTAGTCTTAGTCATCAAGCATGCTTTGACGACATAATTCTAAATCATAAAAAGGAAAGCGAGTCTTCTTAATAGACATTTAATAATTCTATAATAAGCCTTATAGGGTGGATATACAGATTTTTAATATGTCATTTTATATTATAATAATAATATAGTTGATCAAAAGATTAATATGTTTGTGTGTGAGATATATATATGCACTCGTAAAAAAATTACATGATTAAAATATTTGAATTTTAATTTGTTTGTAAAAATTGTGAGATATTATGAGAATATTTTTTCATATTTTTTTAGAGTTCATATAAAATCTTCAGGTCATAATGTCTAAGATGACATCAACAGCACATACCATTTGAAACCAAGCGAAGCTTCATATAATTGCTTACTCTCCCATAAAAATGCCAAAGTCTACGCATTTATATCATTAACACAGGGTTGCCTAAAGGAGAACGCAGATCGATGGATAATGAAAGCATACAAACGAGAGTAGTTGATTTATGCAATATATCCATCATAATCATTTTCTATTTTATTTTTTTAGGAGTACAAACATAATTTTTCATCACATTTTTTTATACCAAATATAGTTTTGACAATTCTTATAAACATGATGACATAAAATAATCATAAACATTTATATTAAGGAAGTAAAATGTACATTTCTTAACAATAAAACTCTTCCACCAAGTCGAACCAAATTTCATGACTCTAGACACAAATTACTGTTTATAGAGCCATCTGACTTATTAAGTTATATGGCTTTACCTTCGGGCTTTGTAAATACAAAGTCTAAAATTTCGGGCTTCATGCAAAGCCTTTTTTCCTCCTCTCTGTTGTCGGTTCATGTAATAACCCAAATTTTTTTTTAATAAAATTAAAATATGTAATAATGTGTTTTAATTTATTGTATTAATTTTGAAAAATTATGATTAGAAGAAGTGTTGGTTTTGTGGAGTTAATATCTGTTTATTGCTATCAAGTCCCAGTTCGAATCATCACATATAAGAGAAGGATTTTAGTTTTGCTTCTTTTATTTTTAAAATTACCGAAGTGCCTTCCTTGAATCTGTATATTTTTCTTTCTTTCCTACCTATATTTCATTATTCATTTGTGTGAATAGAGGAATACCCAAAAGGCTTGAGACCCTTCGCTCTAGATCCTTCTCCATTTTCTTCTTCCTCCTTCCCGATTTGGTTCGCGTAAGAATCATGTGAGAGAAGAGAAGTTTGCTGTCAGAACCTTCAAACCTCCGACTTGCAACCTCGGCCGCGGCCCTCTTTCTCTTCGTTGTAACTCGTCACTGCCATCGATGATCATCGAAGCTCTGTCTGTCGATCATTTGAGCATGCGTTTTCTCTTTCCCTTTGTGCTGTCGACATTCCTCTTCTTCTCTTTCCCTCTTCTGTGCTTGACGTCCACCCTTCCCCTGTTCGGCGCTGCAGAGTCTAAATCCCTCCCCCTGTTAGTACAACCAGAATCTTCTCTTTCCTGCCTCTACCATAGTTCAGGTAAGGATCTTGGAGTCTCCTCTCCTTTGCTGTTCCTGCGTGTGTTTTTCTGTTGCTGTGTGTGTGTTTGATGGCTGGAGCAGGTGATTTTATATTTTTTTTCTTGCTCATCTGCCGTAGTTGATTGAATGAGGAGTTTCGAACTCTCCTCTCCTTGCTGGTCCTGCTGGTGTGTGTTGTGTTTAAATCTTAGAAATTGTGATTTTCCCCCAGCTCGCATTGCTTTCTTGGTGTGACAAGGATTTTCTTCTCTGTTATTGTTGGTGCTGGGTGTTGCTATGGTGTGATTTAATTTTAGATTGATCATTGTTTCCTCTTCCAGTTACCGTGTGTATATGATGTGTGTGTGTGCAAGGAAAACTATTGTGATTCCTAAATGAAGTGTGATTGAATCTCCCAAAATGCTGACCACGTGACTTGTTACTAGGATGAAAGACAAGACGATGGAAGTAATTGGATGAACTGAGTGAGATAGCTTGCCACTGTGAGTATTGGAATTTTTAAATTAGATGATAAGCCAGGTGAATATTGCTGAACATAAATTTTAATTAAATAAATTAATGGTCAACATGGCAGATGTTCGGTTAAATGCCTGAAAGAAGAGATTTTTATTTTTACACTAATAATTAAATTATATGGGTGGTAACCATCCTCCTTAAGAAAAGCTGGAATTGGAATTAGCGATTTTTGGGAGAGTATGATGGATTTAATTATAGGTGTTTTGGAATTTGTTGGGCAAAGAGACGGATGAGGAAAACAAAATGAAGAAAAAGCCTTATTAAGTAGTTTGGAAATGATGCATGCAAGAGGCGTTTTACATAAAGCCTAAGAGGAAGTCATAATCCAATGGAGTAAGTAGCTATGGCTAAAATATTGTAGAGAAATATTGGGATGGAAATGAAGGTGAATTAGGAAATTTTGAATTTTCAAGTTGATTTTGATTACATGCATGTTGAAAGGGAATTTGTTTGATGTGAGCAAAAGCCATTAAAGTTTCCTTATATATATTTCATAGGACATTTGGAGGAAGAGAAATTGGAAAGGACTTGTAAGAAGTAAATTTTGATTTTGAATATTACAAGTAAGTGGATAGCGTCCCAACTGATTTATTAATAAAACTCTTTTTCCAAAATATTTTGTTTACATAGATCATTTAGTAAAATTATATTATGTATTTAATATTTTGTTAATTAAATCATTTTCATCTTAGGAAATTATAAAGAGATGTTGAAGGATATTTGAATTATGGTATGTATATTTATTTTTCCTTACAAAGGATATTTTTAAAATTGATGGGATTATTTTATAAATTTTGGTTATTTTTGGGTTATTCAATAAATGTCAAAAATTGACATCAATATGAAATTTTATTTTGGCAAGTTTTTAATGCTCAAACTATTCATGCAATTTGATTTTGAAAATGAGAACCATTTTTTAATTGTGATGATTTCTCACATGTTTGAAAATAGATTTGAAAGGAGATTTTATACAAAACACTAGTTACTAATGGTAGTTTCGTTAGACTTTGACGCACCATAGTCAATGACTAGCTAGTTCGATTTTTTCATGAGCTCTATTTTCATGTTTGTTATTGTTAGTTTAACACTTGCGTCTATTTTCATGCTTCAAGCCACATTTGGTTAGTGTTACCTTCGTGGACTATGTGTCCACGTTTACTTTGTAGCTTTGGCTGCATTTGGTTACTTACCATTGTGGTGTGTCCACGTTTGACTTCATGACATAAGCCACATTTGGTTATTTACTCTCGTGGATTGTGGGTCCATGTTTATGAATTGTTCTGATAAATCCCCCAAAAATATAGAATTTTAATTAATTGGTGATTTCATACGTAAAGGTTTTTAATTTAGTAAATATTATTATTCTTATTTTTTTATTTAATCATTTTGACTTGTCAAGATTAAATGTTAAAGCTGTTTTGTCATTATAGATTTAAACGTTCTTATTATTGAAGTTATATAGAACTTTTATTTCAAGTTTATAAATAGTTTATATTGAATTGCTTTCTCATTTAATTTATGTAACTATTGTATTTTATTCATTTTAATTCTGCAAAATATTATGGTTGGGACGTTATTCACTAAAAAGTATTTGGTTTGGTCTTAGATAGTATAGCTGACCATGTACCTTCTTTAGATCCTTGAAGGAACTTTGCTTCTGGATTGAAGTAGAGATGCCGTTTTGGTTAATTTCTAATTTGATGGAAATTTATGATTTATATGATGTATTTTTATAAATAATGTTTTAGGTGCTGTATATACACTATAGTTAAGAGTCTTGATTTTTATTGTGTTGTTTGACTGTCGTTGAGGAGTAAAGCTCCTTTTTGCTAAATTGATATTGTAAATTTGTGTTGTAAATTTTTGGAAAATTCTATTTTTATGGGAAGTTTTATCAAATTTTTTTTAGAAGATTGGTGATTTGTAGCTTTTATAAAAGTATTGTATTGTTGTTTATTTATATTAATTACACATTCAAATATTAGAATTAGAGTTTTCTTGAGTTAAGGCTTTGGGAATATGAAATATTATTCCCATGTTCCATGCCGGTCTTGCCTTATTTTCTGAGCGTGACAATTCATTTCATCATATTTCACTTCTCTATTTCACCTACCTCTTCCTTCCCCTCTTTCTCTTTTGTTGTCTACCTTCTGTATCGCCATGACAAGGCTGCATCCATGCTTCACCGTGCACTGGTTTTGATTAGGATCTCACTGTCCTTCAAGGTTCACCGTGCATTTCACTCTAACCATTGTCCAAGCTTTATCACGCTTGAGTTTCCGATCTCAGCTTTGGCATGTTGCAGAGCTTTGTCTTGGCCGCTCTTGCTTGTGGTTCTCCAAGCTTCGTTGCGGGTTATCCAATCAGTGTTTCTCCAAGCCTCTCGCTTGCATCTTTGTGAGCATGCGTGTTCCCAACTGAAAGCTGGGGACGATGTATCTAAATATGCGATCTACATTGCTTTTGATACGAAGAAAACTCATGAGCATTGGACAATAAAACACCAGTTAATGACACATCAATGCAATTAAAAATGGTTTCGGAAAATAACATGGTGTTTAAATTGTAAGTTGCAAAATAAATAAATTTCAATAATGATTAATATTTTTAATCAAAATGATAATTCTTTTTGAAATACCAATAAAATATTTAAAATATCCAACAATGTTTCGGTAAGTAGAAATAATGAATCCAATGACAATATAGCTATCAAATTCTTTATTCATCCTCTTTTTTTAATTGAACAGTACACTGGAGCGACGATGAAAAGTCCAACTTGACCTTTCTGCAAAAAAGATAATTTTGACATGTGTATTTATGAAATGACAATGTTAACCCTGAATTTAGATATTTGTAATTCAGGAAATGACAATGCTAACCCTACTATGAAATGCTTCTTTTCTCTCTATTTACATTTCATGAAAGCATCCTTTATTCAAGTACGGAGAAGAACTCATCGTAATGTCTCTCTGATGGTGCCACAACACTTCGATGTAAATGCCGCAACTCCTATGGTAACTCGGAATGCTTTGCTTAAAACATTTTTGAGGCATTTTTTAACCATGTAAGTTGAGGGTTTTGCGCATCATTTAATTTGAAGCTTTCAGGACTTGAGAGGACATGCACTTGGGGGCTCAAATGGAGGTGGATTCCTTGGGGATGTGGAAGATCAACGGCATAATTTAGCATCGATTACTAGTTTCCCCTTTCCTTTTCCTTCATCTCTCTATGTATCTTTTATTTTGCTTTTTGGATGGCTTTGCATGATAAACAATATATGGTCTCGATATCTCTCTGTCTTTGCTCATCATTGTTATTTAGTTTCATGATAACTTGATTTGCTTGCAAGATGGTAATATACCTCTTGACCCTGTGTAGTCACATTAGGTTTGTGTTTGGCCACGTTCAATTAAGTAATCAGCTAAGATTTTTTTTTTCCCACAGATGTTTTACTTAACAAAGAAAAACCAAAGCCATGAGTACAAGTCACTAAAAGAACACAAACCAGAACCAAAAACAACATAGCAAGGGAAGCAAAACAAAGATAATAAAGACTTTCAACAAAATCACATACTTCATCTCCTCGATTCAGGAATGAAATTCATTCTTAGCTTTGTTTGGGAACCCACGCAATGGTGCTTTGAAAAAGGAAGTGGCATATGGGAACACTCCCTGGTTTCACTTTTAGCATTTGGAAGGCCAAATGTTTTGGGTTCCACTGTGACGTGTCTCTGTGACATACACTCACGGCTTTTATTCTGCTCCCATCATCCCCCTTCAAGGATACCGTATAGGTGACCGTGTTCTCTATTTTATGACAATAAAATACAGCAAACACATAATTAAGCTTGTGGCACACCACCACTTTCGTCTCTCCCACCTTCCCTCCTTGCATTATTGTGTATTCTTGCTGCTTTGTATCCTTCATCACTTCCGTAGACAAAGCTTCCACGTCTTTCCCAAGCTTCAAAGTGATAAAATCAACCATGGATTCCAATGACGTGGCACAATACTTCTCCTCTCCTTTAATCCCTGACTCCTCACAAAGTTTAATTGTATTATTCATAACCTCAGCTTTTTCTGACCCAGGCTTCACAGCAAAGTTGTTCAATATCTCAGCCATCTGTTAGTAAAGAATCATAAATACATAAATTTTCTGTTGGCCACATAGCAGAATCAATCTGACATTACGTACCTTGCTTGAGGAAAAGGGAATGGATTTCACGACTTCACGAGGCAGGAAGGATGCTTGGTTAGAGATTTGCGTGAAGAGTAAGTTCATTCTGTGACCAGCCTTCAAGTCCTTCTCCAACAAGAAGAGAGCTCTGCTGGCATTATCGTGTAGTTTGGTGTCAGAGTTCACATAACAAAAATTTATGCATACTTTTCTATGTTCGGTCGTCCAGCCACGGTCGGGGGTGTCGTCACCTGACTTGGCAGCATTAACTATTTAGCACTTAAAGAAACTTACTGTAGAATATTATTTGTCAAGTGAAGATCGAAATTCGCAGAAAAAAAATACCAATGAACATTACGATACCAACCAGCAGGGTGAAGGAGATCTGCGAATGATTTGGGAATGGGAGTAGTGGGAAGCATGGACTTCCAGTAAAGTTCGGGAGGTGAGGCAGCATGCGTTCCTGCAATGTGCAATATTATATATAATATGAAAATAGACATTCGTATAATACCCTGAGAACAACAGCGATACGCAGGGGTTCGATCTTCAGTATTGAAGAAACTATGTACTGAAGCTGCATATAATTTGCCCATTAATAGACAAAAATTGGAAGTGAGAGGAAGAATATAATGGGGGGAGAGTGCCAAGGATTGGATTCTTATGAGATATGGACGACGCAGGTTTCGATACAAGGTGCATGACACCCACACCCACACACACACACACTTATATCGGATATCAAAATTTAAAGAAAAGCAAAAGAATGAAAAATATGTAAAAAGAAATTATCTCAATATATTGTTATTTTATTTTAGTTTAAATTTAAATAATTAATTAATTGCAACTTTCAAATGAGTAACTTTTTTTAAAGGCCAAAAAAAAAAAATCTAAAGTTCTATTCCTTTTACTTTAGCTTGACATTTACTTTAGCTTGACATGATCATTTTAACCCCTTTACTCCATGGGCCCTTTTGGTTGGTAGAATTGGCATTGACAAATAAAAATGGAATGAAAAGAAATGCTTGGAAATGGATTGATGATTATCATGATTTTTGTTTGGCATCGTATTAAAACTTTGTAGTTTGAATAAATTATTTATGTTGGTATTTGAAATAAGCTCCTTCTTTCCAAAGATAAGCACTGGCGGCCTTCAAATCTCCATTACCGTATTTGAATTACAGTGGGCATTGGAACCCCATCTTTGTTAATGCATCTTTAGTTTTGATGATTTTATTAAGTATTCGATGAAACAAGGTATATTAACATAACTTGAATGACTTGGTCTTAAAAGTTTAGAGTGTTTTTGAAATCGTTTAAAGCTTGTTATTTTTTTTTTAGGGGAAAAAAAAGCTTGAGCTACTTAATATTTGAATACTAGCCTTATATTCGACTATGAATAATAGTTTGAATTTTGGCTGGCCGATTTAGCTTGACTGTCTGCTTAACCATGGTCACACATTTAACTTAAACAGTTTATATCTATTTCTATTTTAAAAAAAATTCAAAGAAAATGATAAACCTAAAACAATTGATTGGACGGTTAAAATTAACTTAAACTAAGTCAGTTTTCTATGAAGTAAAATGTGCAAAATTTGATATTCCAATTCCCTCAAGCTTTTTTTAGAAAAATGTGAAAAGAAATACACAAAAAATATATGGGAATCAAAATTTGATAATTTTAATTTCAAGATAGAAAAGTTTACAGGACTAGTTTGTTTGTAGCTTTCCTTGCTTTTTTGTTGTTACTCCAAATCATTTGTAGAAAATGATGCATTTAATGTTTTAGTCATACGATTTTGTTTTAATTAATTTTCATCATGGACATCGTATTAGGAAAAAAGCCTCTTTAATTAGTTGGAAGACATATATAGAAAATAAAGCACATCACTTCGCATATTTCCAAGTCTAAGAGAGAAAAATTTCAGTCTTCATCTATTGAGTTAAATGCTTTTATATTCAACTTCCAAGTCATTTTAGAAAACAATGCATTTACTTTGTTTTGACAAAAATCTTGCATTTACTTTCCAATTTTGAAACTTTTACAAATAAAATTATATATTTAACTTTGTTATTTTCCACGTCATTTGTCGTTTTTTTTTTAATAAGGAGTGGCAAGCCTAACTTATGATATAACTATTAAAATTTAAAGATAGTGAAAACATCTATTAAATAATAGAGAAAGTGGGGTATGATTACTTATGTACTTTATTTATTGATGTATCATTTTGCCACCCGTAATGAATCATCCATTAAAGCTGGTTTAGTCTTAAAGAATGCTTTTCAGTGTCACATTCACATCCAATTCAAATATAATACATTTTAACAAGTCTAATTTTCAATATGTAATCCTATAGTAAATGGTAGACATATTTTGTCAAAAAGAAAACAAGGAACGAAGTTATCTCCCAAAAAAAAAAAAATCTATCTTTGACACTATATAGTACACATTGCTTCAATTCTAATAATCTCCATTTCCATTTTTTTAAATATTCATTATAAAAGAATATTCAGCAATATGTACTGATAAGATCATAAGACACACACACAGAGACAGAGACAGACAGACAGACAGAGAGAGAGAGAGTAGGCCACATTCTAGCTAGGAAGGTTCCTAGTTATCCATTTCAAATGAAAGGGATCCAACACTATATTACATTCGTTAACCAATTATATTCCTTCTGATTTTAATTTTTTGGGTATAGGCCATTTCCATTTAATTTTGAATAGATGGATCTGTTTAGAAAATTTTTACCATGTTTTTTTTTTATTGATGATTAAATAAAGAATATTTGTTTTGATTGAAGAAATAAATTGAGTCAGAATACTTCATTTCCTGATAGAAAATGAGGGAAACCAAATCGCAGGATTTGCTTATTTTCATTATGATTTGTAAAGGATGCAGGGACCAGTCTATTTTAATGTTCATTACTCTTTTATGATGATGGACCACGTCACTCATTTGTAAAAAAATAATATGTTGTTTTATTGGTACAAATAATATATTATTTTTATCATGTGGGATTCTTTTAATATAGTTTCATGTAAATCAAGTCATAAGGGTTGTACCTTTTTTTTTTTCGACAGGACTTCTTTTTGTAGTCTTCCTTACCTTTTTCTTTTTGTTGGACCAATCCATTTGTAGAAAATAATGCATTTTCTTTTTGTAGTCGTTGGAAGATCCTTTAATTCATTTTCATCATGCACGTCACATCACAAGAAACAGCCTCTGTAGTTATTGGGAGACATGATGAGTAGGGAAAAAAAAAAAAAAGCATTCACTTTGCCATTTTATCTTTGGAGTAAAATCTTCAGTGTTCATCTTTGGAGCTAAGTGCTTTTCTTTCCAATTTTCCAAGTCATTTTAGAAAATATTCAAAATAATGCATTATGCTTTATCTTTGGGAAAATGCCAATCAGACAACCCTTAAGAATATTTATTACAATTATATAGCCTTAAATCATTAAAATTTCAATAACAGACTATGCTCCTTATAATAAAGTATTTTTTATTGATTAGTTTGATATTTACAACATACTTTTGTAAATTTCCAAATAACACTACAAAATTTTCCAAGTATCTTTTGATGATTTTCCAATCAATTTATCTATGTATTGATAGTAAAAAATTAAAAGTGATTGATTTGTAATTTACATCTGACTCTTATAAATTTTCAACTAATGTTACAAATAATCTCAAGTGTATTTTATGGATTTTTCAAGTGGTTTATGATATGAATATAGATAGCAAAAAATTGAGATTCACAACTGACTTTTATAAATTTTTAACTGACGTTACAATAATCTCAAATGTATTTTGTTAAATTTCCAACTGACTATTCAAATTTTTTTAATTGCAAATAAAGACTATAGCTATTAGTAGGATTTCAATAATTCAGAATTATAATTGTAATTATTATTCTAATAGGGTCCCTAATTGTCATTTTCCCCTTATCTTTTGGCCATCTGTAACATATGAACAATCCATTAAGACTAGTTTGGTCTTAAATAGTTCTTTCAAGTTATTCTGAAAAGTCTAATCTTTAGTTATTTGCAATTTTATGTAAACTTTAAATTATTTTATTTAAAAATATCACGTTCCCTTAATATTCTTAAAAAAAGATCTTGCGTGAGATACAGTGGCTCCCTTTCTAGGGCAAGATGCATTCCAATAATATAAAAGTATATGGACTTGGGCCTCTCGACTTAAGTCCATTGGACTGATGATACTAACAGACAGGAAATCGCAGATTTTGAGCCTGATTTTGAAAAGCCTATAAATCCTGTTGCTGTTATTCAGTGGATGCGGAAGTATTATGTTAATATAAATGAGACCGACCTTGAGTTAAACGTTTACTTTAGCAAAACATACTTTTTAAACCCACATATCTAATTCGATTAATGCGCCAATAATTTAGAAATGGGATACGGTGACATTCTCATAAATAAAAAAGAAGATGAGATAATTTTTAAACTGATTAATAAGGGAATCAATTTAAAAATTGATATCTAAACCGGTCATAGATCATAACCAATTTAGACATATATTTATATTTTAATATTTTTTTAATTTTGAATAGATATTTAAACTGGTTATTAAGGGTAACTGGTTTAAATAATAATTTGTAATATTTAAAATATTTTTTTTTTAAAATATCTAAAGCAGTCATGCTTTGTAATCAGTTTAGATGTGTTTAAATTTAAATTTTTTTTCTCTTATATCTCTAAACCCTAGACTTCTCTTCTCATCCTGTTCTGTCCTCTTCAGTGTCGAAGTTGTTCCTCACTGTTGAGAGATTATTGCTCATTGATAGAAGTCGTTGCCCCACCGTTGTTGCTCGTTAAGATGGCGTTACTGGTTTGAAGTAAGGAGTGTTGAAATGGCAGATCATTCTAACATTTCCTTTCTTTTTCCGATTTCAATTCTAATCTTCATTGCTGAATTTTCACCCAAGGCAAGGATCTACCTATCCTCCTTCTCCTCCGCCGCCAGACACCTGCGCAATGGTGCTTTCTTATGAAGGTTATCTAACGCCTGTGTATTCCGAATACCCTCTGTCGCTACCTCCTTTGCGTCCCCAGTATCAAGGGTACCAAGGTTATTTCAATGACCAATATCAACAACCGCCTCCTCCACCTTAATCATACCCCAATCACTATCATCAACACCATGAGACCAACTGTCTTTCCATCTTGCGAGGTAGGTACACTTTCCTTCTTCTAAACTTTCTGTCCTGCTTTCATGTCTGGATTTTCAAGTATGGGTTTCTTTCTTTATTATCTGGTTGAATTAGTGTCGTGCCCCAGACTTCATTTCCAATTTGACAGACATCTAATTATCTTGAAGCTTGTCTTATCCTATAGCTCGTCCCAATTGGAGCCCTTCTATCTGAATTTATTTGACCTGATAAATGGTTAAATAAACTTGGGGATTCTTCTGCAATTTTCACCATTTTTACACTCCAAGCTCTCAACGTTTTTCCTCTCGGGTCACTACTTTTTTATCCCTCTTATCTTATACAAATTACTCACAGTTCACATTTAGAACTGTTTGTCCATTGAGTATATTGGTGTTAATAATTCTGTGACTGTATTGGTAGTTTTGCGGGCATGATTGAAACAATTAGTTTTTTGTTTCTCATTTAGCAATGAGTATGTTGTATTGTTTACCTTTCTACCATGATTTTCTTTTCTAAATTTTTCTTTAATGCAATTACTAGATTATTTTCATTTTTGTTGGTACCATTTACCGCATCAAGATCTAATTGTAATTCTAATTTTAAGGAAGTTTCTGGTTTAGTACTGTTGCCCTTTCCTTTAATGCTAACTTGTAATTTACTTAATGCAAGATTTTGTTGTTGTTGTTTTTGAAGCTAGAATTGTTATAAGCACTTGTAATTTACTTAAGACATCAAGATGCCTGTGTTATGACTTTTTTTGCTGCTGTGAGGTTGAACTAATCGATGCTTGTTGAAGTTGTTTGGGTTGTTTTGACATCCAAGACTTGTTTTCCATCTTTGACTCATGCAAATTCTCTTGCACAATTTCACACAAAGAGCACTGGAGGAACAAAAACTAGCTCGAGAAGAAGCTAAGAATGCTGAAATATCAGGCATGCAAACTTTCCATATGAGAAGAATGCCCTTTTTGACCTTTATTCAAAGCCTGTTATATTTCTTCTCATTTCCATTTTAGGCCATGGTGAATCAATCAACTTCATATGTATGCTCTTTTTTTCCTGTTATATTATGAGGTCTATAGTTTGTCAAAGTAAAAAAAAAAATTCTTAATTCTTGAATGTTAATCTTGAATAAAGAGTTTAGCGTTAAGTTTTGCTTATCTTTAATGTATATATTTTTGTTCATTTCTTTTTTAATTTTAATTGGTTTAATAATTTCAACACATATCCCTATGAGAAGTTTAGGTATTTTTTAACATGTCATAACATAAATTTTGCTAATAAATATAGGACTTATGCAGCTGTTAGGCCCAGCAGAAAATGGGGCTAGATATATGCAGGAAAGAAGAAAGGAAGCCCAACCAATTGAAGCAACCGTGACAAGGCTAGAAAGGGCATAATGGGAAATAGAGCTGAGTAACGGATATTTTGATTATGTCAGATAGTGGGAGTGCGTTAAAAAGAGGGAGAGGAGGCCATATTGGGCAAGAAGTGTGTCATTAGTAGGAGAGGGTTATGGTCTCTCAAATACTAGGAGGGGAGGGAGCTGTTCTGTTTGAGCATTCTCTAAGTTTGTGAGTTTATGCTTTGGGTGATTAAGGATTGTATTCCTCTACATTTTCCATTGGTAATAGAAGTCTACTAGAATATATTTCATATTTGGCATTGAGTTATTTTTCAAGACCTAACATTTTGGTATCAGAGCAGTTGATTCTGGGCATGGTCAATACGGGGATGGAAAATAGAGTCGACCAACTTGAAGAAGTGGTGATAGAGTTACAGAGGAAACAAGGAGAGACAACGGAGAAACTTACAGGAGTGGAGGGAACAGTGAGACTAATTTCGGACCAGCTCACTGAACTTCGAAATCTGATTACAGTAGCCAACAGAGACATAGGAAGAATTAAGGATGGGCATATTGAAGGAGAGAAAGTGGAGGAGCCTAGAAATATTTCAACGAGTCATGGTGAACGGAACGAACGAGGAGAGGAGGAAACGAGACAAAATGATAACAAACACTTCAGACGTCTGGAGCTCCCTATATTCAATGGAGATGACCCTTTAGGGTGGATGTTCCGTGTAGAATGTTATTTGACTATCAACAAGATTAGCGAACAAGACAAGCTTGATGCTGCTATCGTAAGTCTAAAAGGTAAAGCCTTAACCTGGTTTTAGTGGCTCGACACTCGAGCTGTAGTGAGATCTTGGCAAGAGTTTAAGAAGGAAGCAATAGAGTGGTTCCATGGTAAGCAGGCTAGTGATGAGTACGAGTAGTTGCTCACCTTAAAACAAGAAGAAATGGTTCCCGAGTATAGAGAGCGTTTTGAGTTCCTCTCTGTGCCTCTTCGGGATGTGTTAGAGGAGATGATGATGGGGGCATTTATGAATGGGCTTAAGGAGGAAATTTGGTGCGATGTCAAATTAATGCATCCCCGAAATCTGACGCAACGTAACTGATGGATTTTTCGAATCAAGTGGAAGATAGGAATCGTGTGAAGGAAAAACTAGAGGAGAAGAAGAGTAAGGCTTCAAAACCTTCCTCGGCAGGGTGCTGGAGTGATTTTCGAAGCTTTATGCCCAGGTTCAGCCCAGTGGATACTGTAAGAAATGCAGCGTCGCCTCTCACGGTGAAGACGACCTTTGGTAAGGCAAGAGATGAGGCCAAAATGACGGCACAAAAAGGAGTTAACCCAGTGCTAACCACTGCCAGCAGTAACAGTAACAGTATGAGGAGGAGGCTTTTGGAGGTTGAAATAAACAGACGCTGTGAGCTGGGCTTATGCTTCAAGTGTGAAGAGAAGTTTAGGCCTAACTATAAGTATAAAAATAAACAGCTCCAGCTTCTTGTATTGAAAGAAGAGGAAATAGATGAAATTGGGCCTGGCAAGGCCCACGAGCTAAGTAACCAGATGGCTGAGAAGGCAATGTCTTCAATGGAGCTTTCCATGACTATTGCAATTGGGCTCACGAGAAAACGAACTCTAAAAATGGTGGGAGAAGCCCATGGACAAAAGGTGGTGATATTGATTGACTGTAAGGCAACTCATAATTTCGTGGCCCACACCCTCATTAAACAGCTCAGGATTCCAATGGAGACAGTCAAGAAGTATTTTGTGATAGTGGGAGATGGGCGATGAATTGAATCAGACCTGAAATGCCCAGAGATTATGCTGAAAATATAAGGGGTAGAGATCAAACAGACGTTCTACCCTTTCAATTTGGGAAATGTCAACTTGGTCTTGTGAGTGGAGTGGCTCGCGTCGCTGGGTGAAACTTGCATGAATTGGAGGTAGTTGTATATGAAGGTGAGAGTGGACAAACAATGGGTTTGCCATTGTAGGGATTCAATGCTAACGCAATTGCCTACTGCATTCAATCGATCAAGAAATCCATTTTGGAGGAACGAGTTGGATATATCCTTGAGTTGAGAGCAATCAACAAGAGTATAGAAAGCATATTGGATTCTAAAGCCTCAGACTTAAGCGACATACTCACTAAATTTCCGAACGTGTGCTACTCACTGGAGGCCTACCCCCTAAAAGGTCACAAGACCATGCTATACTGGTCAAGGAAGGTGCTTAGCCCCCCAACACACGACCCCATCGCTACAGGTACGCTCAAAAGACAAAAATCAAAAAGTTGGTGAAAGAAATGCTCTTAGCCAGAATTATCCAGCCGAGCACTAGCCCTTACTCCAGTCCTGTATTATTAGTCAAGAAAAAAGATGGGAGCTGGCAGTTTTGTATAGATTATCAAGCACTAAACAGAATCATAGTACCAGACAAATACCCTATCCCAGCCATTGATGAACTACTAGACGAGTTAGGCGGTGCTACTATATTCTCTAAGCTTGACCTTAAATCAAGCTACCACCAAATCCAGATCAAAGAGGGGGAAGAAAACAAAACAAATTTTTGCATGCATGACGGGCACTATGAATTTAAAGTCATGCCTTTCAGTTTGACTAACACTCCCTCAACTTTCCAATCTCTTATGAATGATATATTTCGAGAATATTTGAGGAAGTTTATTTTAGTGTTCTTTGATGACATTCTTGTGTTTTGTGAAGACAGGAACTCTCACAAAGAACACCTGTGAAAGACCTTAGAGCTACTGAAGCAGAACCAATTAGTAGTGAATCCTAAGAAGTGTGTGTTTGGGCAGACTCAGGTTGAGTATTTGGGGCATATCATATTTGTTGAAAGGGTGAAAGTTGATCACAGTAAGATCTCGACAATGAAAAAATGGCCGAAACCTAGGAGCTTGAAGGCTCTTAGGGGCTTCTTGGGTCTAACTGGGTACTATAGGAAGTTTGTAAAGGACTATGGAAAAATTGCAGCCCCTCTGACACAATTGCTAAAGAAGGACTCTTTCTTATGGGATGAGAAAGTGCAGAAAGCATTTGAAGATCTAAAATTAGCCATGACAACTCTTCTAGTGCTTACCATGCTAGATTTCAAACTCCCCTTTAATATAGAAGCGGATGCCTCGGCTAAAGGAATAGTGGCAATATTAATGCAGAAGTGATGCTCCATTGTTTATTTTAGCCAGAAGCTTTCAGAAAGACAGCAACAATGTTCGGTCTATGAAAGGGAATTAATGGCAATTGCACTAGCAGTCAAAAAGTGGCAGCATTACTTGACTAATTAACCTTTCATAATCAAGACCGATCAGTAGGCGCTAAAATATCTGATGGAGAAAAGAATAATTGCACTTGACCAAAAAAAGTGGGTATCTAAATTAATGGGTTATCAGTTCCAAATACACTGCAAGTCGGGAAAAGAGAACCGTGCAGCTGATGCTCTCTCTCAGCAACACAATGAACTAGAGATGAGGGCTGTGTCATTATGGCAGTATGAAGGCATAACAGATTTAGAGTTCAAAATTCTACAAGACGAGCACTTGAGAACCTTGACTTAGCAATTGATACAAGGGAAGGAGGTACCTAAGGGATATACACTACGAAATGGGGGTTTTTTTTTAAGGGCGATTGGTACTACCCAAGAATTCATCCAAAACTAAGGAATTGATTCAAGAATTTCATGATTCATTGGCAGGGGGCACTCTGGATATTTACGGACCTATAAGAGACTATTAGTTGTCGTTCATTGAGTAGGCATGAAGAAAGACATCCAGGATTATGTCACACAGTGTGACATATGCCAAAGGAGTAAATATGAAGCCTTGACTCCTGTAGGCCTGTTGCAGCCACTTCCCATACCAAGTGCGTCCTGGATTGATATTAGTATGGATTTATAAGAGGATTGCCTAAAAGTCACCGCTTTGACACAATGTTAGTAGTGGTGGATCGGTTAACGAAATATGCCCACTTCATTCCACTATCACATTCGTATAACGCTAAGGATGTTGCTAAAATTTTTGTTAAGGAAATTATTCAATTGCATGGATTTCCTTCAACCATAGTGTTTGATCGAGATCAAGTTTTCACAAGTCAATTTTGGAAAGAGCTTTTCAGCTTGGCAAGCACCACACTTAAGTATAGTTCAACTTACCATCCAGAGAACGATCGGCAAACGAAGGTGGTAAACTGAAGTCTAGAGACTTATCTGTGTTGTTTTGCTGGAAATACGCCAAAGAAATGGGCTAAAATGTTACTGTGGGCAGAATACTAGTATAACACCTCTTATCAGACTGGAATGACTCTATTCAAGGCCCTATATGGCAGGGACCCACCTGTTCTCCTAAAATGGTCAAATAGACCTTCACGAGTACAGGAGCTAGACCAGCAATTGAGGGAGAGAAATCTTATTTTGGATGAACTTAAGGCACAGCTTGAGCGAGGTCAAGTAAGAATGAATAACCAGGCAGATAAACATCGAAGAGAGGTCCACTTTGAGGTAGGAGATTTTGTCTATTTGAAACTTAAGCCTTACCGATTTCAGTCATTGGCTAAAAGGCCTAATGAAAAATTAGCCCTTAGATATTATGGGCCATTTTTGATTGAGGAAAAGATTGGTTTAGTTGCTTATCACTTGACCCTCCCTCCTAGTGCTTGAATTCATAATTTTTTTCATATTTCCTAACTTAAAAAAGCCTTAAAGGCCATGGTTACAGCTTAACCATTACCAAATGGGCTTATTGAGGAATTAGAGTTACAAGTGGAACCCGAATCAGTTTTAGAGGTGTGTTGCGATGACCAAGGTACCTTACAGCTCCTGATTAAGTGGAAAGCCTTACCTGACTACAAGAATACTTAGGAAGAATTAATTGGAGACCATTCGTACTCAATTTCCAAATTTTCACCTTGGGGACAAGGTGACACTTGTAGAACAGGAGAATGTTGGGCCCAGCAGAAAATGGGGCTAGATATATACATAAAAGAAGAAAGGAAGCCCAACCCATTGAAGTAACTGTAACAAGGCTAGAAAGGGAAGAATGGGAAATAGAGCTCAGTAACAAATATTCTGATTATGTCAGATAGTAGGAGTGCATTAAAAAGGGGGAGAGGAGGTTGTATTGGGCAGGAAGTGTGTCACTAGTAGGAGAGGGTCCTGGTCTCTCAAATACCAGGATTGTATTCCTAAGTTTGTGAGTTTATGCTTTGGGTGATTAGGGATTGTATTCCTCTACATTTTCCACTAATAATAGAGGTCTACTGGAATATATTTCATATTTGGCATTGAGTTATTTTTCAAGACCTAACAGTAGCCCATGCCAGATTTGATATATTTGTTGTTATTGTTTTCCTCAGGTTTACAAGAAAATGTCAAAGCACTTTTTCGCTTAGATGCAAGCCATATAAGATCAGGTGTTCCCTCTAACATTTTGACTTACAATTTCTATGAATTATGCATGCAAATCAGGGAGAATGAAACCTTTTATTTTTGTTAATTTTGATTTGAATTAAGCTTATAAAAGAGTGGCTCTCCTCAAGATATGGGATAAATTGTGGATGTAATATTTTTTGTCCTTTTAACTTAACACCAAACACCTTGTTTGATAATATGAGCACCTCTTACAATTAAATTCTGCAAAAAGAAATTGAGAAAAATCTTAAAGCTTTGAAAGCTAAACTCGATGATGAAGAAACACTGGAAAAGTCACTTGATGTCAAATTGGTTGAAAGAAAACGAAAGTAGGTTCTTGTTCAAGATATGCATATCTCTGTCTTCAATCATATTTGAGCATAGATGTTTGTTGCGTTATGCTTTTAATTTCTCCCTTTTCTTTTCCCTTTGTCATCTTTTCTAATTAGTTGTGTAACTAGGAGAATTGATGAAACAATTAGAGAAATAAAGGGATATCATGTCTAAAAGAAGTCCTGTTTTTTCTTCCTTTATGATGAGCTTAGATCAAATTCTGATGGAAGTAATGATTTTTATGGTTTATATTCTATTACTATCTCTTTGGAAGAATTATGCTTGGAAAATATATTATTCTTTCAATCTTTACCATCATTATTCTTTCTTGTTCATTTCTTGCTTTTTTTGTTTTTTTACAAAAGGTAAAATTATAATCATGATGTATAGCAATTTGTATCAACATTTCCTTTCATTTGCTAAGAGTGTGCTCAATTGTTTGTTTTTAACTTGATGCACCTTAAGTGATAAAATCACAATATAATTTTCATTCTCTCCCTACAGGTGTTAGAATAAATTTACCATAAAAAAGATTTTTTTTTATATTGGAATACAAAAAAATGCCCCTATTTTTGTTTTTTAAATCTCACTTTCTAAACCAATCTAAACCAATTCTATTTTACAACCAATTTAGAATATGCCGATTATAAACTAGTTGTATAATCGATTTAGAATTGCTTGTCATATCTAAACTGGTCTTTCTAAGCTGGTTAAAAACTGGTTTAGGTAATCAAATGGATACCTCCTTCTACTGGTTGAGTTAAGATTAATGTAGATGGGGCTGTTACATTCTCAAGTGAAAAAGCTGGATGTGGTGGGGTTTTGAGAGATCATAATGGATACTGGATAGCAAGATTCTGCTATAATTTAGGTATTTGTTCTGCTTATGAAGCTGAGGAATAGGCAGTGCTGAAAAGCCTTTGTTTTGTCTGGGGCTTTGGCTTTAGGCATATGATCTTAGAATCTGATTGTAAAAGTCTCACTGATTAGATTGCTAAAGGAAATATCAGTAATGGTGCTTGCAGTACAGTTTTATTAGACATAATTGATATGTTACATTGGAAATGGGAAGTCAAGCTACAGCATGTTGATAGGCAGCTGGATCAAGTTATTGATAAGCTGGCAAAAGAAGGAATTTCCTATTTTTCTCTGTTTAAGGTGGCTTTGGATTTTTTAAGGAGCTTAGTTGATTCTGATAGTTTGGGATCTCATGTCACATTCCAAAAATAGAGGATGACCGACACAGGATGTGAACAATATCACACATCCCTTAAGCCTCAAATTGAGAAATTATTCAATTTCCAATACATAATTAAATTTGTATTGAAATTATGGCATCCTTAATAGTGTTTGTTATAATAAAAGTTTCAATATTTTTGTAGAAATTTCAGCAAAACCTCCTTTATCAATAGGATCTTCCAAAATATCTAAAACAATATATATATATATATATATATAGATTTCCATATGCATTCAACAATTTAGAACTATGTTCCCTAGTAACAGACAGTTGACATAAAAATAAAATCAGGATCTTATCTATGGTTAATGTGAAGGATTTAAAACTTAATCTTAGAATAAAACACATCATTTAATATTTATATAAAAAACATTTCCAAAGATAAGTATTCATCCAGTATAGTTTGTAAGCCTCTCAATGATTGACAGGAGGTTCAGCGTCAACTAATAAATCTGAGACCAAAATATTTTCTAGTGAGTAGCATTCCCAAAAATAGAATTTAAGAGTAAAAATAATAAACTCAAACAATTAAGTGAGATAATTGAAAAGATGATAACTCAATATGATAAACTTACTAAATCTGTAAATTTTAATCATAACCATAAAATGAGAGAGAACTGAAAATTGCCTTATTCTATTATGCTTGAAGAAAACAAATTATCCACATGTAAATCAAAGTAATAAATTTATTAATTGAAAGCATTGAAATTTTAAATACCAAATGTTAAGTAAGAGTTTAAAATTTTGAGGACTTAACAAAACAAATAACAAATGTGGACACACAGTCTATGAGGGTAAATAACTAAATGCGTCTTATGTCATGAAGACAAACATGTACACGTAATCCACGAGGGTAAGTAACCAAATGCAGCCAGAGCCACGAAACAAATGTGGACACACATTCCACGAGAGTAATACTAACTAAACACAGCTCGAAGCCACGAAAATAAATGTAGGTGTTAAACCCTCAAATATCAAATGTGAGAACAAAAGCCCATGAAAATCAAACTAACTAGTCATTAACCGTAGTGTGCTAAGGCTAATGAAACTATCATTAGCAATAATGTTCTACTTATAATCCTTGTAAAATCACATTTTGAATATGCGAGAAAAACAATCATTACTGAAATAAAATTTTCACTTTCAATGCCAAACTTGCATGGTTTATTGTAAGTATCAATTTAATACTTGTCAAAATAAAATCTCGTAAATAATGTTCGTTCTGGCATTTATTTGATGACTAAAATTTTGAAAGCTACTCAGGATAATTTCAACAATCTTAAAAATAAATTCATAAGGAAATACATGTACATATCATAACCTAATTATTCATTTGCCATATTTTATATATATATATATATATTCACAGGATAAAATATTTCATATAACAAATTGATTCATCAAATCAGGTTTTGTTCAATAAAGGAATCATTCTTTTTGATAAATATTGTAATGACCTTAAATTAAAAAAATTATTATTATCTCCAATTTATATTTTATTTAAATTTATTTTATGGCAAATGGAAAAGGTGAATTAGTAAAAATTATATTAATAGCTTACTTGAATGTCTAAATTTTAAATATTTTTCCCAAAGATATTAATTTTATTTAGTTTAAGATTTTGGAAAATTTACCAAAGTGCCCGTGTCTTTTATGTTATTAGAGAAAATGTTAGGTTCTCTTTTGTAATTTTGCAATTTCTTAAAATTCAAATTTATATTTCTCCCTCGGTCAAATACGCAAGCACCACCTCTTTTATTTTTCTTTCTCCTTCTTTAAAATTCCAAAAACCAGAGAGATCGCCTCTTCTCTCCCTCTGTTCTTTCGGCACTCATCCTTGCCGTCACCGGTGTGAGTGTGAGCTAGAGAGAAATCGAGAGTTTTGGTCCTTTATTCTTCTCCATCCATTTCTTTTCTGTGTTTCTAAAGTGTGCGAGTGAGGAGCTAGGCTGTTCAGTTCGTCGCTGATGTCAGTGTTCGCTATGAATTCGCTACTGTCAGGACCCAAAGTTGTGAGTTTGTCTACTCCCTTGATTCTCCTACTCCTCTGTTTCGCGACGCTCTCTGAGCTTTGTTCGGCTGGCTGTTGTGGATGCATGAGGATCTCTTTCTTCCTCTTCCTTGTTCTAATAGTAGTGTACCCTTTTACTTTTTGATATTATTGATTAAAGGTATGGATTTTCAAATCTCTTTCTTCCTCCTCAGTTCTGTATGTGTGTATGTGTTAGAGAAACCATTAGCTTTAAACTCTCTTTTTGATGGTTTTGTGTGATTAAGTGCGTGAGTTTATGATGGAAGCCACAAGAATTTCCGTTCCTTTCCCTCTGTTTACTGCATGTGACCGTTTATGTTGGACATGAGTTTTTAGGAGAAGACTTGTTAAGGTCTATATATCACTTGGATAGAGAATTAAGGAAAGCAAGAAGCTTGTCACACTAATTTTTCTCTTGCATAAACAGTGTTTGATAGAATGATTGAGTGAAAATTTTTATATAAATGAGTGCTTAAACTTTACCAAATTAATCCTAATTAAATTTTAATGTTTAGATCACTTGGTTTTTATATATATATATGAATATGTTAATATGTGTTTTGTGAATATGTTTATGTGGCTAGGATTGTAGATTCTCCTTTATTGCTTGTTCTGATCCTGCACATGCCTAAGCTATGAGAGGATTTGAATAAAAATGAAGATGGTTTGGCTTAATGGTGTATAGGTTAGAGTTTGAACATGTTAGGTGAAATTTTGAATTGTTAGAGTAGTTTGGGTCTTGAAGCACAAAGGAACAAGGAAGAAATTTGTTATACTTGATGACATTTATGATATTGAATTAAAGGTGTCATAAGATCGGTTGTGGTTGTGTAAGGTAAGAAATTGTATTGTTTTGAATAATGTGTACTTTATGAAGAATTATCAAAGAGCCTTAAGGATAAATCATTTATCAGTTACTAAAGGAAAGAGGCATGGTTGAGATGAATATGTCATTATAGGTGGGAGAATGGAATAGAAAGAATATAATTCTAAATATGGATAGTAGATTGAGGCAAATAAGGATTGAGGACTTTAAAATTATTCTAGATTACATATTGGGTTCACGAATGTTAGTTAAAAATATATGAATTGAAGTTTTTATTAAAGAAAGTTGTTTATTCTTCTGGTCTAGGTAATAGCGTAGCTAAAGGGAAATGGAGAGGCATTTAAAAAGCACATATTATTAATTTGGGAGATATCAAGTAAGTGGATAGCGTCCAACTAATTTTTTCAATAAAGATTTCCTATACTACAATAGTACATTTGTTTGCAAAATTGTTTTAGTAATAACGATGTGGTTATTGAATAGTGTGTTTATTAAACTTCTTTATTTTGTGAAATTACCTTTATCAGTTTTGAAATTTTAATTAATTAATAAATATAAGTTTGGACTTTGATTATGAGATTTCATTCTATCGAACATTGGATTGATATAGAGAATGATTCATGCGAGTTTGACTTTGAAAGTGAAAATTTTATTTTGAAAGTGATGATTTTCTCGTATGTTTGAAAATGGATTTGAAGGGGACTTTATGCAGAACACTGGTTGTTAACGGCAATTCCGTTAGCCCTTGGTGCGCCATGGTTCACCTAGCTAGCAGGGTACTTATAAGAGGTGCTAGCCCTGTGCGATGGCCAACGCACGTGGAACGGAGGGATGGTTATTTGTGAGCATCATACTCACATTTGTTTCGTTACTTCAGCCGTGTTTGGTTACATACCCTCGTGAACTGTGTGTCCATGTTTGTTTTGTAGCTTCGGCTGCGTTTGGTTACTTACCCTCGTGGATTATGTATCCACGTTTGTTTTCGTGGCATAAGCTGCGTTTGGTTATTTACCTTCGTGGACTGTGTGTCCACATTTGTTAATTGTTCTGATAAGTCCCTATAATTATGAATCCAATTATTTGATGATTTTACGTTCCATTAATGTTATTCAGTAATTTGTTTATAACTAATTATTTCATTTATGTGTTTTCTTGGAAGCAAGTCCTATTAATATTCGCTATGATAGTTCAATGATTTAAGATTTAATTTTAAAAATTTTACAGAGTTATTCTATTTTAAAGTTTATTACATTTTTTTGAAAGTTGTTGTCTCTTTGACTCACATTTTTTTTGAACTTTCTTTTTATTCAAGTTCTATTATTTATTATTGGGACGTTATTCACTAGAAATTGTTATTTTGGTCTCAGACGATATAGTTGAACTCGTGACTCGAGATATCCACTGAGGAGTTTTATTGTTGAATTGAAGCAGAAGAATTATTCTAGTCAAATCCTAATTTAATGAAAAATTTGAACTTTATACCTACATTGGTGTCTGGCCTTAGGTGCTCCACGTAAACTACAGGTAGGATCCTCACATTTATTTAAAATTGAATATCTAATTTAATATTATAACAATTTTTAATTACTCTATTAGTGTGTTTGACGTATTAATTTCAGAGTTTCTTCTTCGATCACGGCTTAAGGGATATGAGTTTTGTGCCCATATCTCATGCCGGTCATACCTGATTGTTTTGGAGTGTGACAAATATTGTTTACTAAAATAAAACAATATGAAAGTAAAATGGCATTAATATATTTTATAAAGAGAATTTTCTTGATAAATTAATTGGGGTACTATTCACTTACTTGAAGAATTTTATTGATCATATATGATTTTATATTGTAAATTTCCTCCTAGATTGGATTTAAAAATTTATTATTTTATATTAATCATTTACAAGCATTTTTTCTTGGTTATATCATCATTCGAATTCTTTTTGTATATCTTATTAGTTGTACGATTCTTGATAATCTATAAAATTCCAAAATTATTGGTTTATTTTACAATTATGTTGTTGAGCCACTTTGTCATCTATTGTTAGTTAAAGTAAGTGTTTTAATATTCATTGATTTATTTTAAACTAAACTTTTACATGTTTTATCTATAATTTTGATCAGGAACGTTACTCATCAAAAAAATTTCTTTGGTCTTAGATATTAAAGTTGGCCCTCCACCTCTTGCTAATCGTTGAGTATCATAATTGCTTTTTGGAATGTGAAAGCATAAATTGACCATTTAGTTTGATGTAATTATGTATTATATTATACAATTATAATTTAATGCTCCACGTATACCGTAGTTAGGTCCTAACCTTATTTTATTATCATGAAATCTACTGGTGTGAAGCTAAGCTCCCTTTTGGTTTTGCTAACAGGTTTTGTAATTGTACAAATTTTGAAAGGTCTTAATTATAGGGGAGATTTTGCCGAAATTTTTACAAAATGATTAAGACATTATGAATTTTAAATTTAGACATAAATTATATATCGTTATCTTGAATTGATTTTTTTGGTTAATTAAGGCTTATAATGTCACGCCCCAAAATATGGGAGTGACCGGCGTGGGATATGCACCTAAACACACATCCCTTAAACCTAATTCAAAATTTTTCATTTTGAAAGTAATTTTTATTTAAATAAAGTCTTAATATTTTTATGGAAATTTTGACAAAATCTTTCTTGAGAATAAGATTTTTTCAAAAATTTCTACAATACAAGTTTTTAAAGAAATATTATATCATCTAGGAGCTCAGCTTCTTCCTACTAGCAGATGAAATGTTACAAAATAAAAATCCTAACCATAAACTATGTGGAGCACCTATAAAATTATTTATAATAATATAATATATAAATTAAAATTTTACATCAGAAAGTGAGATTAATCAAAATGATGTCTCAACTTCAAACTAGTAGCAAAATCCCTTGAATGATTTGACAAAGGTACAAGCCATCTGAGACCAAAATATTTTCTAATGAATAACATCCCAACCATAACATTTTGCAACATTAATGTGAATAAATATAATAGTTACATAAATTAAAGAGAAAATAATTCAATGTAAAAGAATTTGTAAACTCAAAATAAAAGTTCTATATAACTTTAGTATCAAAACACTTTAAATTTATAGTGACAGAGCAGCTTTAATATTTGATATTGACAAGTGAAAAAAATTAAATAAATACATAAATGAAATAATAACATTTGCTAATAAAAATCATTAGAGTGTGAAATCATCAATTAATTAAAAACTCATATTTTTGAGTATTTATCAGAACAATTCACAAACATGGACACACAGTCCATGAGGGTAAATAACCAAACGTGGCTTATGTTATGAAGACAAACGTGGACACATGTCCACGAGGGTAAGTAACTAAACACAGCCGAAGCTACGAAACAAACGTGGACAAACAGTGTACGAGGGTAATGCTAACAAAGTCGAAGCTACGAAACAAACGTGGACAACAGTGTACGAGGGTAATGCTAACAAAACGCAGCTCGAAGCCACAAAAAAAAAAACGCAAGTATGAGATCCACGAATAACAAAAGTGAGAACAGAGCTCACAAAAGTCGAACTAGCTAGTCATTGGCCAAAGCGCGCTAAGGCTAACAGAACTATCGCTAGCAACTAGTGTTCTATATAATTCCCTCCAATTCATTTTTAAACATGCAAAAAAATCATCACAATACAGTTTTCATTCTAAAAAATCAAACTCGCATGAAGAATTTTGGGTATTAAAACTTGCCAGAATAAAGTATCATAACTGATATCCATGTTTGTATTTATTGATAACCAAAATTATCCATGCTGATAAGATAATTTCATCAATCTTAAAAGTATTCTTTGAAAGTAAAAACGCATAAACGTCATAATTCAGGTATCCTTCCATATCTCATTACAATTTTAAAAGATAAAAAAAATTTAATTAACAAAGTATAAATACATAATATACATTATTATATATCTACGTAAAAATATTTTTAGAAAAAGAATTTTTATTCACAAATCAATTAGGACACTATCCACTCACTTGCAATATTCCCAAATGCAAATTCACCCTTAAAGCTTCAATCCTCCCTTATTACCTCAATCGAGATTTTCTTTCTCCAAATCCTCCCCTATTCAATAATGCAAAATTTTAATGACCTTTAGCCACATTTAATAAACTCCTTTCTCATAACAATACTATAGTCCCTCAATTCTTAAATCCATCCGATATATAACTAAAGTCCTTCAGTCCTTACAATACTTTATAAATATATATCCACAACTTTGTCTATACTATACTTGTCTTTCCAACTCCCTTTAAGCACAAGTAGTTAAATTTTAATCAAGGTATGTATATTACATGAGTGTATACCCAACTAAAAAAAAAAAACTTCTACAACCTACTTTATCAAACACCTTAAATGCCTCCTAAAATGCGTAAACATCATAATTATAAATTAAAATCACCACAGTGCCATTTTCAAAATTCAGTTGACCACTCAATAACTATATAATCAAAATTCTCCACAAGGCTAAGTTGACTTAACAGAGCCCAAACCATTTGCACCTTCATATGAATTGATAGAATTCACAAATTACGTAATTAAATAAAAACTCTTTTAATAGACATTTTTGTCCAACGCCTACACACATTAATTCTTAAACTCAAATCAAATATTTTCCTCCTTGATTCCAACTACCAAACATTCACAAAGAAGAAATATTTGAATCAATCAACCTCCTAAATTTCATAAAAAATAATTGTCTTCTAATGATAATTTATTTAATTAGCAATATAATCATTATATAGATATATATAAATAGATATATCAAGAATCAAGCCATTATATAGCAAGACTCTCTCTTAAACATTCTATCAAACACTTTTTGAGCATTTGAATCTCAACTACAACCAAACTTCTTGCTATCCAGTTCCTCTTCTTGAAAATTCTCTAACTTAAACATGGAATCAATCAGCTTAAATCAATTCTCCCTCTTGCACAACCATGAACATCAGCAACATTATAAAATTACAACCTTACCATTTAAAACACACGTACCCTTAGACAGAACAAATGAAAAGGAGGAAATCAAAAATCCTCACCTCTGGCCACAATAGCAAAAGCATGAGGAAGGAAAAAAAAATTGCATGAGGAAGGAGAAAGATAAGAGACCGACGTACTCCATGGCTAACAGAATGGTGATGACACAAACAGACTATTGCCAACAATGTTGCTGCTCGAGAAAGGTCCAACAGTAACAACCACGATAGATACGAACAGAGGAGGTGCGAAGGACAGCAGAAAGGCAAGGATTTTTGACAGCCCACATCACTAGTGACGAGACAAAGGAGAGGAAGGCCAATATCACACACACACACCAACCAACATAACTCACACGACAGACAAACAGGGGAGGAAAGGACGAAAGAAACCGGACAGCTCATCATTTACGATGGAGAAATTTCGATGGCATGGAGTGCGAGTTGCTGGCGGGGATCAGATAAGTAAGTCCGTGATGTGGAGGAAACATGTGTAGAAGAAATTGGACGCTCTCTCTTGCTGCGCTCTGTTTTCCTCGACCGACAGAGGGAATTTTAAAATGTTAAAGCTTACTTGGGGAAAATTACAAGAGACCCAGAAGATATTTTCTTTAATAACACGAGAGTCGAGGATATTTTAGTAATTTCATTTATCACTAGAAAAATAAAATTACCTTTAGCATAAGTAAAATTCGAACCCCAATCCTCTAGATAGAGACCAACATAATTTTCACTAAGCCACACTACTTCCTATTTATCATAAAACTTGAACAATTTAATAAAATATCAATTAGATGGAAAATTATTTAATTTAAAATCCAAAGTCATTACATATAAAGTGTGAGTTTATCTAATATTTGTGCTGGTCATACCTTCTGTACCAAGGTGTGACACTTAGGTCTCACCATTATTGATTAGAGGTAAAGGTTCTCAAACCTCTTCCTTCTCTATTCTATGTGTGTATATGTTGAAGGAGTTGCTGCTGCGATGGTGTGGGACTTCAAAACCTCCTTCTTGTTGAGCCTATGCAAGTGGGTGTGTAACTTGATGATTGAAATTGCAAAAT